ACAGCTGCTTCAGTGCAAGTTTGATCCCCGCCCCGGAGGTGACCCACACGGCGCGGCAGACCTCTCCTGACCCGCCCGCTGCTCCCCTCAGCAGTGTACTTCATCAGTTGGCCTGTTCTGCTCCCCACTCTGTCTCTGGTGGGTCCTCTCACTGCCCCTGCACTGCTGGCCTGTACCCCAGTTCTGTATGCATAAACAAACATATCTTTGAAGAAAAAAAAAAAAGAGGGGTGAACGGCAGGAAGAAGAGGATGACATAAACGGCAGGCTGAACATGGAGGTGCTGGAGAGAGGCGTGCAGGACGGTCTAGTTTGGCCAACAAGCAGGGAGCAGGTTCGTGTGCACCCTGGACACCTCCCCATCATCACAGAGCTCCCCCTGACAGTCACACTTCGCCTTTACTGGTCGCACTGGTGTTCATCCTGCCAGCCAGATCACAGAGGGCGCCTCCTCTTGTTGGCATGACTTATTCGCGCCTCTCGACTCTCCACGCGAGAGGGAAGGGACCAGCGTCACCTGGTCTTTTCTGCTGTTACTCCGCAGCCCTGGCTGATTTCGCAGGCAGGGAGGCATCTTTCCCCCTCGGCCCTCGGGGAGGAAACCATGCCCTCAGCAGCAGGAGCCTGCACCTCCTTCCAGAGCCTTCCCTGGCTGCAGACCTCCCAGACCCGCACTGGACCAGGTGCAAGGTGACCAGATGTGCGCTCTACCACCCAGGTGGGGCCTCCCAGGGGTGGGCTGCCCTGGCAAGGGTACATTGACTGCACCAGTGCCCCACAGACTCTGTCAGTGCCAACCACCTCCCCCTGCACCTCAGCCCCCAGTCACCCATGTGTGACGGGCCGTCCACTTGCCTTAGCTGGCCCTTCCAGAACTCCAGGCCCCAGGCTGCCCCTCCACCTTCTGGGGCTGGAGTGGGAGGTGGATGAGGAACAGAGATACAGGCCAAGGGGCACCCCCAGCACTCCCCAGAAGTACCCTTTCCATAACAGCAGCCTGTAACAGATACAGGTTTCATGGACTCCGCCCCCACCCCAGATACTGGAACTCCAAATCCCATCAGTACCAAGGAGAAGCACGCTAGGACGTGAGGGCGGAGCTGAGCAGCCAGGCTGGGATAAAACCGGGCATGTGGGCTTTGGGGTCTCTGGGCCTGGTGGTTCGCAGCTGGTCGTTTTGGCGCTCAATCGGTTTTCAACGTGCCGGTGGAGTCCAGGTCAGCAGAACTGGTAGGACATTCTAGTTGACTTGTATTTCTCTCCCTCTTTCCCTGGGTTGTTCCTTTACCTTTCTCCTTGTAAATAAATCCATTATTGAACCTTTTTGAGTGTGTCCATAATACGATTGAATCTTAAACGCTCAGGTGAGGACCCACAGACGGGCAACCCAATTCACATTGGGGTGCCGGGTACCAGTCCCACAACTCCAGCAGCCTCTAAGGTCAATCCTTGCTTCAGCCCTCCCCCATGCACACTCTCTCTTCCTAATTCAGCAGTCAAGGCTTAGAAAATCTGAACTATATCGTCCTCACTTTGATTAAATAAGCCTCCCAAAAAAGATTAACAAAGCTCATAACCTGTTCCTGTTTTAACTTCCTATTTCTCCCCCTCCCACTCACCCCTTCCAGCTGCTCAAATGCCCAGGCCTCAGGGCATTTGCACTTGCTGCTGTGCTGGCTGTTCTCATGCCCCCACCCGACCTCCCCCACCCCCCCCCCGCCCCCAAGCCCCAGCTCCCTCATGTCCTGGTGGTTCCTACTTACACAGGGCCACCTCAGAGAGGCCTCCTCACCCCGTCTCTCAGTCCACAGCTGCAGCCCATTGCCCAGCTCCAGCTTCCTTCTTAGTACACTCATCCCTTATTATGTTTACTTCTATCCAGATGGATCCCCATAAATGCTCAAAAAAAAGTCCAAGTTTTATGATCATACTCTGCTGTATTCTCCACACCCACAACAGGAACGGGGTGTTGTAGATACCTAGCTAAGATGTGTTTCAGGCCAAAGGCACCTCACTCAACCTGCCACAGGAGCCAGTGACTCGCCCATTGCACAAATAGGGAAACTGAGGCTCAGGGAGGTATGGGGGTCACTGTGCAGTCACACCAGCTTCCCGGAGTCACAGTGAAGGCCCTCACCTGCCAGTCTCTCCCCTCGGCTCTCCCCATCTCACGCCCTCATGCCAGGAAAGGCAATCCTAACACAGGCAGCGCGAGACAGACCCAAGGTGGCATCTTCGCCAAGGCCCTGACCAGCGGCCCACGGGAGGGAGAGCCCACTGGCTCCCCAGGCAAGCAGGGCAGCCCACCCTCCAGGTGCTACAGAGAGGGGCCGGTCCCTCGTGCCTGGCCATGACCAGGGCAGCACGGCCACCGGCGAACTTCCTGTCCATGGGGAGTGGGGGCGGGGGGGAGGGCTGGGAGCAACAGAGACAGACATTTGCCTCTGACAGGGAGACTGATGGAGGTACAGGGGTGGAGGAGGAAGAAACCTGGAAGGCGGCAGAGACTTGGGAGACTCGGCAGGCTGTGACATAACTGCTTAACTTAGACGTGCAGGCCCCACAAGGCCCTGTCAGCCCAGTTGTCCCTTTTGAGCAAATTAGAGAGAGAGGCACCCTCACTGAGGCCACCGGCCTTTGAGCCAGATGCCCCATGACAGCAGGACCGGGCCGCCCTCCCCCATTCTCTGTGCACCCAGGACGGAGGCTGCCACTTGGGGGACCCACAGATGCAGCCTTGCAGAGAAGCCTGGGTGCAGCCCTCAGGGATCCTGCTCCCGCACAGCAGTCCCTGGACTATGTCACCCATGAGGGTCAGGCCAGGTCCACCCACAGAAACCAGCCAGGGCAGGGGGGTAGGGACAGGGAAGAGGCCTTGTGTGGATACCAGCATGCAGACCCCTCCTCTGCTGAGCCGGCGCCAGCAGCCACACCTCCCAGCCCCTACACCTTCCTCTCTGTGGCTCTTAGAACCTGGAGTGTGGGGGAGCCATCATGCTCACTTGGCAGGAAGGAAAAGAGGACTAAGTGGGAATGGACAGCTCAGTCTCACATAGTGAACCCAGGTTTCTGCTCCTTCACCCCTACCTCGCTGAGTCTGAGGACCAGAAACTCTTGTCTTGACCCGAGGCTGGCCCTACCCAAAGGGCAATGGGGGGTTGAGGGGCAAGGGAGCAAAAGCTCTGTCCTGGGGTACTCTGGGCCCAGGGACTCCCCTTTCCAGACTGGTATTGCCCACGTGAGTTCTGGGGATCCATCAGGAAGGGAGAAGAAAGGGGTCTTCTCTCCATGGGGTCTGTGGGGAGGGGGGTCAGGGATTGAGAAGCACCAGGGCGCCCACAGGCCACCCTCGAAAGCCCCCACCCTTCCCAACCAGCCAACACTCTGGGAGGAAATAATTAGAGCACAGGTGAGTCATACGGTCACAAGGCTGCTTCCTGGCTGACTCAGGGGGACCATCCAGATGGGCCTTCCACCAGTCCCCAGCTCAGAGCCTGAGTCAAGGATTCCAGGGCCCCAGGCCATGTCGCCCAGGAGAAAGCCTCGGGCCACTGGTGAGCCCTTCCCCCACCCAAAGCTGGGGATGTGAGGTGGAACACTGGGCTGGGCGGGCCAGGGAACTGGGGCCCTGCGGTTTCCCTGTCCCCACCCAGAGCACGCGCCACCCATCTTACAAACAGCTGTTGTTATCAATCACAGTGATAATTAACAGTGGCCTCCATGCTGATACTGAACTTCAGTTCTGCCACTGGCCTGGGGCTGTAGACAGTGGGGCCCCATGGAGCCAGAGAGCTTCTGTAAATAGCAGCTGCTTTGAGAAGAGTTGGGGGCATTGTAAGCTTTTATTCTCTCTCCCTCTCTCCTCACACTCCTCTCCCTCCCTCCCTCCCTCCCTCTCTCTCTCTCTCTCTCTCTCTCTCTCTCTCTCTCTCTCTCTCTCTCTCTCTCTCTCTCTCTCACACACACACACACACACACACACACACACAGGGCACTTAAGAGCTTGAGCCCACACAGAAGAGACCCGACGACCTGGGTCCTAGCAGGAGCCAGGAGCACCTCCTGGAGAACAGCACCTCCTAGTGTCCAAAGCAGGCCTGGCCTTCGCCCTCCCGCGGGCAGATCCCTGCAAAGCCAAGTGTCAGGGTGTGCCCTTCCCAGGCCGTCAGTCTCTGGGGCGTGTGCCCCCAACTCCAGCTCATTCTGTGATTAGGCTGAGTGGGGCCTTCTAGAGTCTGCCCCTCCCTCTGCCTAGGACCTCAGAGGTGCCCTGGCCGAGCACTGCGCCGGGAGGGAGGCCGGTGACCAGGCAGCAGAGTGGGGCCCTGCCCCCACCGCTGTAGCAACTCCTTCTGTGTCACCTCCAGAGACCCCTCACTTGCCCCCAGCCCAGCCCCCCCAGCAGGTCTCCATGGCCCTTGGGCCACTTTCCTGGCTTTGTCCCTGGGCTGGCTGGGCAGGAACTTCCTGCTGGAGAATTCCCGGATCCTCCTTGTGAGGTCGAAGGCCTGGGCTGGGAACTTAGGAGGGAGGGAAGTCAGGGACCATCTAGCAAGGGCAGGCTTTGTGACCACAGGGGCGCCCCTGGCACTCAGGGACACGCCCTCCCCCAGGTCAGCCATCAACCTCGTGTGCTCCCTGCTCAGACGCCTGCTCTGTCCTGCTCTGACCTCTCCGCGGAAACCCAGGCCTGGAGGCCCTGCACACAGACTGGGGAATAGACTGAAGCCCCAGATGAACTTGTTTCAGGGTTAAGTGGGGGCAGGGGGGCCACAGCCGACAGCCAAAGAGACCAAAGTCAAACAGGAATTTATTAATAATATAGATCTGAGGCTGACGGGCGAGGACAGTCTATTGGACAGGCTCACCCTGCAGACATGTGGGCGCTGTTTGTCCCCAAGGCCCTGGGCCACAGGGGCTCCCGGAAGTGCCCCAGGAGAGGGAGGGGGCTCCCCGCTTGGCCCACGACCTGCGGCAGGCAGACTCCGCCAGCACCAGCCTCACTCTGCAGACCACCTGCCCGTCTCATCCATCTCCTCCAGGAGCAGGTGCTGAGGGCAAAAGAGGGGCAGAGCACCTTTGGGCTCCCTTCCCTCCCTGCTCTGTACCCCAGAATCTTCCCACTTACCCCCGAAACACAAGCACCCTAAGGTCTAAACCCTCCCCATATCCCCTCAGCTGGCCCAGGTCCACCAACCCTGAGTCACCTCTCCCATAAAATGGAGGGGCCCTTCTCCCTCCAACTTGAGGGGATTCTTTAGAAGCCCCAGGAGTCAGACACCCCACTTCCTCACCTCTGCCCCAGACACCACACTAAGGGGGTTCTGCGATCTTCCTTCCAGCTGAGGGTGGTGCACCAGCTGTCTCAGCACCTCTTCCTCGGGCCCCCAGCATTCCCCAGAGATTGAGAGGCAGCCTCTGTCCTCCTCAACTAGGTGTCCCTGAGGACAGAGAAGAGTGTGGAAGGTGGTGAGGGGCAGGGGACCCTTGAAACACCCCCAGGAGGAAGACACCTGAGGCAGCTCTGTCCCCAAAGGGAGGCCTGAGCCCTCATTTGCCATCTTCCAGGAACTCTTCAGGGCCCCCCAGTGCTGCTGAGGCTACCCCAGACTTAGGACCCTCCAGGGCAGGGGGTTGGGAGGTGGGCAGGGAAGGGTGAGGACAGGCCCCTTTGGGTGAAAGGCAGAAAGGAGCCCACCAACCTGACCACCTCCCAGAGGGGCTCCTCATGGTGGAGGTATGAGCCCGGGGTGGCACCTCAGTACCCAGAGATGAGCTGCTTGGACAGTGGTGCCCTTGACAGTTGATGGTGCTGTCCCCCCAGGGCCCCCTCTCATAGGGAAAGAAGGAGGCCTGAGGCCACCCTAGGGTCACAGAGCGCGTTGATGCCAGAGAGGGACTTTGACTAAAGATTCTGGCCTTCAAACCCTGCGTGCTTTCCTTTTGCAAACTACTCAGACTGTCAGGGCAAGTGTCCCCTGACTGAAGGTATGAGGGGATGGCCACAGGAAAATGGGCTCAGAGAGAACCTCGGCGTGTTCTTCAACAACAGACCCACCAATGGATGCGCAGTCAGAGAGGCTGGGACAGGCCTGACCTTGAAGGCCAGCATCAAGTAGGGTGGGCATCGGGCGGCCCTTGTCTGGAACCAGCGGGGGGACCCCCCATGCCTATCTGCGTCGGTGAGAGCAGATGCCTATGTGAACGGGGACAGGTACCTAAACAGGCGACATTAGGTGAATTGCAGGTACGCGGGCAAGTCTTACAGTCACCCAGACAAATCCCCTCCTTGCACAGAGGGAAAGTGGAGGCCAGGAGAAGGGACAGGATCTTGCTCAAAGCCACACAGCAATAGAAAGGCAAGTTAAGGCCTAGAAATGGACACGTGGACTGTGGATCATGTGGGAGCAGCAAGATGACACAGAAGTGTGTGTGTGCGTGTGTGGGGGGGGGCCCTCGCAGAAGCACCCCCACCAAGGAAGGATTATGCCTTCCCCACTCAGGCATTGAGGGGTGGGCATCAGGGCCAGGGGCCCATGGGATGGGCGTCCCCAGCCCCACTTCCTCCGGTGCCCTCAGGCAGTGGGGCACTGGTCATCTGCAGCCAGCCACACCTGACCTTCCACAAGGCTCACCTCCTCCTGGATCATCTCTGGCTGGGTCAGCAGCTCCTGGTCTTTGTGGTCACCCATCTTCCAAAGGTAGGGCTCCTGCTGTACAACCAGAAGCTTCTTTAACTCCGACTCCATGATACCTGCGGAGCCAGAGAGATGAGCATGGGACAGGTGGGAACGAGTGATCTGCTGCAGGCCAGAGGAAGAGGAGGCAGCTCTGGCTCCCAGCTCCAGCCCTGGGCAGGCTGGGCCACCACCAGCCATAAACCTTTCTTCATCTATTACCTGGAGCCAGACAGATAACACAACCCCACCCTAGGAAACAATTTCCATGGGGTCTCCCACTAGCACAGGTGTGAGCATCTCTACCTCCTGGACAGAGCCTGCTGGGAGCAGACATCTTTCCCCTATCTCTGCCCCCCTTTTGCCCCCACCCCACCCCACATATACACGCAACTCAAGAATGCAGATATGGAACCATCCAAGCTGCCTGGGTTCAACTCCCGACTCTCCCACTTATTGGCTGTGTGACCTTGGACAAGTTACTTAACCTCTCTGTGCCTCAATTGCCTCCCTGTGAAGTTAAGATGGAACCTACATCAGAGGGCCTGGTCCATAGTAATGGCTATGTAAATACCAGCAATGATTTTATTACTTTATGTTAGTAACACTGAACTACCTGTTCACCATGCCTGGGTAGCATGGGGTGGAGGGTGACACTGGGAGACGGGTTCCTAGGAGTAGTCACAACAGTGCATGCCAGGAAAACCAGAGATAGAAGCCACTGCAGGGATTAAAACTCTCAACTGGGATAAAGGTGTGCTCAAGGAGCTACAGTCCAGGTCACAACCCCCAACTCACTGCCTCCTGAACAGGAAGAAGGCCGTTCTGGCCTCCAGACCCAGCACACATTGATCACTGATATCCTTCTCAGCAACTCCCCCACCCCCCACCCCACCATGCTGAGGTGAACATCTTAGATCTTCTGGTGCCATCTGGTGGTAGAAACTGGTATTGCACCCATGAGCTAGTAGCCAAGTTGGGGCTCCCTGGGCCTGGGAGCAGGTTGGAAGGAGAGATGGGGGCACCATACTCACGGAGCGGGTCTGTCAGCCCAGATGTCTTGCACAGTAGTGACTGGAAGGTGTCAGTGTCTGGGTCACAGAGCTCGAACGAGCTGTCATCTGCCTCCGTTTCCTCTTCTTCTCCTTCCTCCTCTTCCGTCAGGCTTTCCTTGAGGGGAAACTGAAGGCCAGCAGGTCTCTGAGCAGGGAAGGTAGGAGCCCCAACCCTGCAGCCTCCGCCCCACTCCTATCCCCAGATAAAGCCAGAAAGCAGGAGGGAACAGCTCCTGAAAGGTTAAGAAAGGAACTGCCCCTCCACCCCGCCCGGAGTCTGAGTCACATAGCCTAAGACCCAGGCAGATGTGGGGAGGGGCCCCACTGAGGTTCAGCCCCAACTCCCCCAATCTGTTCTCATAGACCTTGGCCGTGGTCGATTTCTGAAGCTGCTTGTACAAGGTGAGGAGGCATCTCCATGGCGTGGCTTCCACATCCAAAGAGGCCAGCCTGACGTCTCCTGAGAAGCAACAGTGGTCGCTGAAAGCCTGATAGCAGTGGATGGGAGTGCAGCCCAGGCCCAGCAGCGCAGAGCTGAGGATGGGATGAGGCTTCCTCCTGTCCTTTAGCAAGCACCTACTACGTGCCAGCCACTGGTCTAGGCATGTTACAAAGAACATCGCATTTAAATCCTCCAGCAAAAAAAAAAAAAGCCGGCCCTCCCTGGTGGGACAGCGGGTTAAAGCACAGCACTAAGAAGCTAAAGCCACTTCCGCATGAGTTCGATCCCCGCCTGCCCCGGAGGTGACCCACACGGCACGGCAGACCTCTCCTGGCCCACCCGCTGCTCCCCTCAGGAGTGTGCTTCAGTCAATCTGCCTTTTCTGCTCCCCGCTCTCTCTGGGCACCTCTGGCCGATACTCCAGTTCTGTATGCACAAATAAATAAATCTTTTTTCAAAAACCTCCTGAGATAGGTCCTGTTGCATTTCCATTTTATAGACCAGGAAGCTGAGGCCCAGAAAGGTTGAGCACCTTGTCACCATCACACAGCTTGGCACAGTGGAGCTGGGATTTGAGCCCAGGCAGCCAACCTCCAGCATCCCCTCAGACTATCCTTGTGCTCTAGGCCCCACCCCCCTGGAATACTGGAAGAAGGGCCTCTATTTCTGGCACCTCCCCACGCTTGTGGCCACCACACACACCTTCAAGCAGATTCTCCTTCTCTTCCTCCGTGGTGAAGGCCTCGGGGCTGTCCTCCCACGGTTCCATGGCTCTCTCCAGGCATCCTTGCTTTACCGCCTGGGCTTGGGCCAAGTGGGCCCTGATCCCAAACCATAGTCAAGTGGGGGGGGGGGAATCAGGTGGGACCCAGAGGTGTGGTAAAGGCCTCCTACATTCCACAACTCCCTACTCCCCCAAGACTGCCAAGGTCCCTGCTCAGTGCCCCCATCTTTCTGCCCCTAACAGCTCCCTGCTCTGCTAGCTGGAATCTTCATAGAGGGGGACAGTGCCCCCCAAAGGCAGGGTGAAGAGGTGGTGGGAGCTGAGGGAGATGGGGACACCCTTCTCAAGGTCCACCTGAGAGTGGGGTACCTAGAGGGAGACAGTGGGGAGGGGAGGCAGGGGAGAGTGGAGCCAAAAAGTTGCTGAGCGCAGTGGGAGTTCCCACTCACCCTGGCACGCCCCCTCCCAGTCCCCAGCCGCTCCCCCCTTCATTTGATGCCGCTACCCACCACTACTCACCCACAGGAAGACCCCACCCCTGCCTCCTCCACCACACCTATCTCCAGGCTCCTCCCCACCCTTGCTGCGCCCATCTTTTCCCCACCCAGGCGCTCTGCTCTTCTTCCACCGCCCAAGATCTCACATTCCTCCCGAACTTGGGCCCTCCCAGGTCAGGTCTATGTCCTTCCGCCATCTGCCACCCCACCTCACACCCCAGTGGCAGGCTTCTTCCCCAGCTGGGTACCCACCAGCACCCGGAGTCCAGCCCCTCACCTGTCTGGGGTCCCCGTACCCCCAGAGGCCTCCCTTGCTGTCTCCTCCTCTCCTCTCTCTTCTACATCCTGCTCTTCTTCCTTCTTTTCCTCTTTCTTCTCTTCCCGCTCCTCCTCAGACAGGTTGCTCAACACCTGTTGGCCCTCTCTGGGCGAGACTGACTTCACCTCTACGCCCTGGGCAGTGACCTTCAGGGCCTTCATGGGCATGGGGGGCTGGGAGGTGGCCAGCCCCATGGGGCAGCGCTGTGGCAGGGCCAAAGAGAAGCGGGATGGCCAGGGCTCCTTCCTCCCTCCTCTTCCCTGGCAATCTGGTACCAGGGGGAGGGCATCCTGCTCTTGTGAAGGGCACTGCTGACCTTCCAAGAGCTTGCCAGAGCTCTTAGGGCTGCCCTTGCTCCCGAGCAGGCTACGGAAAAAGCGGAACATGGAGGAGCGGGCCAGACTTCGGGAAGGAGGACTTGGAGCCGGGTCCTCCATCCTGAGAGGGCCCTGACTCAGATGGAGGGGCTGAAGCAGACACCCCAAGACCAACTGCTTAAGAACAGGACGAGTTTTCAAATTAAACCTCCAGTTGGAAACCCCCAGGAGTTCTAGAAGGCAAAGATCAGGAAGTTGGTGGGGGGCAGGGTGAGGGGTTGGGGGCTTGGGGGGGTTGGAGGTGGGGAGTGAGAGGGGAGTGGAGAAGGTGAGTGGGGGGGCAGGTAGTTGAGGACAGAGGGCAGGGGGTTGATGAAATATGGGAGGAGACCTGGGCAGCCAGAGTGGGTGAGGCCCTAGCCATGGAGTGAGGGGCAGCAGAGGAGGCGGAACTGGGCCCTGTGGACTGGGCAGGGGCGCACACACATGTCTCCATCTGGCTGGTGCCTCTCTGGCTGTGGTTGACTTGAGAACCATTCCCCAGCTCAAACAGCGTCTGCCCTCCGCCTCCTCTCAGGGTCCAGCCTGCAGCCCGCTGGGAGCGGGCAGATGCCTGCCCGTCTCTGTCTCCCTGCTGGCACCTTCTGGTTGTTTCCAGGGTGCCCTGGGGCGCACGCCCCGTAATTGTGCTATAGCGCCTTGCAGCAATGTTATTCCCCCACCGCACTTACAGGCTGCATTCTAAGCCCAACTCGGTGACTTGGGCAGAGTTCTTTAAACCACCCGAGCCTCAGTCTGTTCATCTGTGAAATGGGTGTGGTCAGCAGCACCTACTTCCAAGGTGCTTGTAAAGATCCTAAGAGGTCTGGCAGCTAAAGTCTCTGACTTTGTAATTGGTATTGACAGCTGGAAGGGGCAAAGTTCCAGGAGGTAGATTGGGAATCGTGAGTGGGGAAGTGGTGGGGGTGGGGAGCCCTCTGGCTGGCCAGGGCCCTGGGTGGGGGCGGGGGGGGGTGGGG